GTCCATGCTAATGCTCTCCTAAGAGAGTGGCCACATCCAAACCATGTGGTGGGGAGAGTTCCTGGCCTCTGCTGCCTCCCAGGAGTTTACAGTCATAGAATGTTTTGGGTTGGAAGGGAAATTTAAAGGCCAGCTAGTCCCTCTGCCCTGCAGTGAATATCCCTGCAGGGATATTTTCCACCAGACCAGATTGCTCAGAACCCTGTCCAACCTCACACGGAATGTTTCTGGGCAACCTGTGCCAGTGCCTCACCACCCTCATTGTAAAAAGCTTCTTCTTTATGTCTTATCTAAATCAGCCTCCTTTAGTTTAAAGCCATCCCCCCTTGTCCTGCCAAAGTTCCTCTCCAGCTCTCCTGACGTCCCTTTAGGCTCTGGAAGGGGCTTTAACGTCTCCCCAGATCCTTCTCCAGGCTGGACACCCCCAGCTCTCCCAGCATGGTTCCATAGGGAAGGTGCTCCAGCCCTCTTGAGCATCTCCACGGTCTCCTCTGGACCTGCTCCAACAGCTCCTTGTTTTCCTGTGTTGAAGGCCCCAGAGCTGGACATTGTCTGGGACAATGTGACCTGGCTCAGGTCAAAGCATGATCACTCAAAGCTGATGATGACACTCCAGCAGGAAGGAATCTTCTTGGTCACTGTGTATTTTAATAATATATCCCAAGTCCACCATATTTCTCAGACTGAAACAGAGTGAACTCCCAGAGCACAATTCTTTGTACCTCAAGATGTAGTTTGGTGTGTTCAAGGATTTTGTGCAAAGACAAATTAACTGTGTCTCAACAAAGACAAAATTAACCAGGAGTAATTGAAAAAATGTAAAAAACTATATATTCTACCTTTAATGCAATCTACCATCTTTTGCACAGTGCCCATTGCATTGCTTTAGAGACTTCCCACTAAGACAAGAATACTGGTGAGTAGCACTAAAAAAAATTGCATCCACAATGAACTTCCTAGAATAAAAATAGGTATCTGTAGTTTTTAAATATCTAATGCAATTCATAGGACTAGACCTTAAATCACAGAATCATAGAATCACAGCATAGTTTGTGTTAGAAGGAACCTTAAAGATCATCTAGATCCAACCTCCCTGCAAAAGAATCAGGAAGTAGGGATTTAAATTTTTTTTACCATTTTGCTGGCTTCAAGCCTGCTTTAAGGTAGTCTATTCTTGTCGGGAAGCTATTTTCCCTCCACTGTTTATTCAAACTTGCAATGTACTATGAAAGCATTATGGTAGCTACTGCAACTGAATTATTGCCATACAACATGTGAGTGTTGGAAATGTATCCCTAAACTAGCAGCCAGAGTGACAGATGAATGGTGTTTCTCCTAATCCTATGGGAACAGAAGTGAAACAGAGCACTCAGTGTGATGCTTTATGAATTCTTTTGTGTGTCAGTCCCAACTTCTGATGGGAAGACTTTTTCTAGGGGGGGAAGGAGTATTAAAGCTATTAAATAAATGATAAAAATGGGTATTTGCAGAACGAGAGAGATGTCAGCTTTGCAGTGATGCAGACTGAGGTTTTTGACATGGACATGGAGAATGTGATAGTGGTTCTCAGAGAAAAAAAGCAGTAGAACTGAAATTACCATTCACAAAATCACAGCCAAACCTACAGTTGGTTTAACTATGGTCAGGCACCTGAGAGGTCCAGAGGAGCAACATAAGGACACAAGCACCTAAAACTCCAAGTGTACTCAAACTGCAAAATAAGGAAAAATTCAAAGATTTTAAATGGACACGGGCCTTTTTGCCCCACCAATTCAGCCATATCCCACAGGAATACCACTTCTCCTCTCTCAATGATTTTTAAGAGACAAAGGAAAGCCAAATTGCCATCCTCTTGCAAGGTGTCAGTTACTGTGGATTCTGTCACACAACAGGCAAACCAAGAGAAGTCGAATTCCCGAGCACCGTCAGCTCTGGTTATTCCACAGCCCATCTGGTGCAATAAAATAGGAGTGTGGGTGGATTGCCATCACGTGTGTTATTCTCAAGAGACTGGCACACATAATGAAGACCAGTTCTATGATCCATCTCTCCTTCCTATGCATAGTTCAATTACATCCAGGAATGAGAATCACTTTTTCCATCTTTAAATGTTCTTCCTCTGAGGAGCAACATGTCACTGGTGCTTTACTGCTGTCTCAGGAGAGCAGGATAGTAACTGTTATGAAATGAGACAGAAGTGCTATTCCAGTTTTAATTTTGTTTTGATTTTGCCAATACAATTGGCTCGTTTGCCTCTATTTAATGCTATTATTGCAGTTTTTATAAAAAGTCATCTTATCACAATGTGTTAAGACAATCACGTGTTAAGACAAAGTAGTGTGAAATTTAATTTCTGCCATGTATTTTAAGAGTATTTCACCTTGGATCAATGTCCCTTTGCACATTGCTGGTATTACTGTCCCAGAGACAGTCCCTTTGCTTCAAATTAAAACCATGGGATATATCAGTAAATTCTACAGACAATCCTAGATGAGTGTCCTTTGCTTTTAATATGAAACTGCTGGTGGCTGTATTTCAGTCAAAGGAGTGCAGAATTGTTTGTTCTCCTATGCTAATGTCCCAAAGTGGCTCACAGCTTTCCTGACTCCTCCATGGTGCAGATATGGAATGGACCTCACAGCACTGCAAGCAATAACATGAAGGCTTAGCTCTAATTTTATGAAATGCTTTAAAAGGAATGAGTATAAACAATATTTGCATTTTGTATCATAACTAAAACCATACTGCTAAACAATCATATCCTGTTTAGCCCATAATGACATCAGAAATATATGTTTATCATCTACTCTGGACAGCTTAGCATGACGTTGGCCCAAGGCAAAGTGGAATTGAAATAACTTATGGTTATCCAGACCAAGATAACCACACATTTCTGAGGTAATTGATACCTAAAAGGAACACTGCCCTTAGATTGCAGTTCATGATTTAAGTACACTAATTCCTTAAAAAACCCTGTTAAATTGCCTATTGGATTTCCTCCAGAATTTAGTGTGGATTAAACAATCTACTGAAGAAAGAAAATGTGATACAGGAGATTAGCCCATCCACTAACAACTCTTCCGTTAGGAATGGGTCACATTTCCTACTATCTTTGATTCCTTTCCACCCACCTCAAAGTGACAACAAAATCCCAAACAAAAGAAAGCCAAAAATACGTTAAACATTTAGAGTAGCGTATTTCAAAGAGTCTTTCATGTTTTGTCATTAGTTTTAGGGACTATTAAGAAAGCAAATAGATAGTACTGGCTTCATACATGTATATAATTCATGAATGCATTCTAAAATAAGATCTTGATTTTTTTTTTTTTAACATGGGGACAGATCAAGAATTCACAAAATGTAATGAAGTCAATCAAAAGAGAGAATTATTTTTTATAAATATTACACACACACTACAGTTTGTGAATTACAGTCTAGTTATAAAAACCAAAACATATAGTCAGATGAAAGAAAAATATCTGACTGCAAACACATATTCCTTGACAGACAAACATAGATTCAGATTTGCCATTGTCTATAACACAGAACTTCATACTTTTATCAACTTCCGTAGTTCTTTAGACCAGAAAAATACTATACAGGAAGAACAGAAGAGAAAGTCAAGCACATAACCCATTTATTCAGAAGAATGCTGTTATCTATTTCTGTGTGTACAAACGCAAAGAATTTGCCTGTCTCTATGCAAAACATAACATTTTGCATAAATAAATAAGAGGTTAAAGAGAAGAAACCACCAGTTTCCAAAATACAAACAGTGGTTGGATACAACTGTTCAATGACACAAATTCTCAGCGGGGGGGAAATGGGACTTGTTCCTAACCAAATTCTTAGAGAGAAGTAATTCTTCATTAGGTTTTTATTTCTTCCCATTGCAGGGCGGAAAAGAGCAGAAAGAAGACTGAGAATGCCACACTTCTGAAGAGTCTCCATTAAGAAGAAAGAAAGTAGAACTACAACTAGCACAGGATAAAAATTCCATTATTTCTTAGAGTTTTCCATGAAATCCTGATAGCGAAATGAAGGCCTAATAACCAAATATCAAATACAAAAATATTACCAAACATATGAGCCACTCAGCATCAAAAGAGAACTCAAACCAAAGCCACCACCTTCCAGCACTGACAGGGTACAAAAATCACTCTACAGATATCAAATTTCCAACCAGTCCTGCCCACTATGTTGAAGTCTGAAAATGGATGGAAATTGGCTCAAATACTTTTCTGGAATTGTGAGTGTGCTCCCAGCACAATTTTGCCCTTGACATCCAGTTGCCTACAGAAAACTTGAGGAAGAATTGAGCAACTGAGCACAAAGAAAGGTGAAGGACTCTTCTCTGCATTCACTGATTACCAAAAAATCAGGGTAGTCCTGCCCACCCACAGAAAATTAATCAAAAACACAGATTTCCATGCTAACACAGCTACACTGCTTCTCAATCCCTCCGAGCTTTGTAGGAGCCATGTAGCATTGCATTTTTTAATGTAGACAAAATTTTTCATAACTACATAGAATAGAAAATAAGACTCGAAAGGATGGAGAGAAGAGTTTATACTCAAGCATGATTGCACAGAATATTTTAATTTTATCTGTAAGCTGTGTTACATGAAAAGAGTCCTCAAATGATATTGAAACAATTTGCTAAGAAGATAAATAATGAAAAATACTGTTGTGAAAAATGTGCATGGAATGTTTATAAATAGAATTTGCTTTCTTCAGGAAAGAGATACAAATACACAGCAGACAGAAAGATCCATAACTACCCTTCTTTAATCTTCCTTCTCAGCATGTGTGCTTAGATATCGAGAAACATTTGAAGGAATAGGAAAAATATGGAAATAGAATTTCTTTAGACCATCTGGTCAAAAGAAAAAACATGTAACAATGACTTAATGTGCAGCATAAAAAAGACATCAGACCAGCATGATGTATTAAACGTTCCACAGTTTCTCTGCTGGGTATCAGTAAAAGGAAAGAATTACCTCCATTCTCTCTTGCTTGACATCATCAATCTCATCATCTTCAAACATGGCCAAGAGCTCTCCAGTCTGGTCAATGGAGTTGAGAAAGTCTTGGGCCAGCTTCTGCCGCTTGTTGGTGTTATTGCTGTTGAATTTGTCTTCACAAAGAAAAGCAAAGAGCAACAAACTTAATCCATTTGGCTTCTCCAAACATCACCTGATGTCCCTCAGAGTGACGCATTTTAGAACCAGCACTGAGCAAAAGGGCCTGTTCTTATTGTGCCCTTCACACAAATTGTGCCACCTGAAAAGGTGATGTCACTGCTCTGCTCCAGTAACAACAAAACATCATCTTTAGTATTTTTTAGTACAACCAGGTAGTTTTTCCTAATCTAGAGAAAACTAATCTGCTGCCCATGTATCATTACTTCTCACCAAAGAATCCAGAGTAGACACAGCTGTAGAGGAAACAACCCCTCTTTGGTAGAAAGAATTTGAATCACAGAGCAGAATATATTGAGGAAATGTTCTTCCCTGAACACATGCAGAACATCCTCACTGCCTACAGCCTCAAGCAAACCCTAACACGACCATTAAGATGCAGTTCCAGAAGTGATGGACCATTGCTCTGCAGTGAAACCTAGAGAATGCTGGCAAGATGATCTCTGCTGTTCTAAACAGCAGCTATAGAGGTATTAAATTCACAAATTAAAATTAATGGCTTTAATTATCAAAGCCTGCTAGAAAAGGCATTCTTGAATTCCAGGATAAACTGTGTTTAGAAAGCATTCCATGAACATCTAAAAGGCTTAGGGGAATTGTTTATTTGCTTTAAGTATTGACACATGCTAAAGTATTAAAACCCCAAAGCTACCAGGTAAGAAGTTATACAGCCAGATTGCTTGCACACACAAAACACGAAAATAAAATGTCACAGGCAAATTAAATCTCAAATGAGCTGACAAAAACTTATCCACAGCTTGATGAAGTCAAAGCAAGAAGTACAATGTTTACCTAGCATCAATGTGGATGATCAGAGGAACTAAACACAAGGAATTCATTGTATGGGAAAAAAAGAATAAAAGGCTCTGAGGAAGGAAGCGAGTTTAATACAGAAAGTTGTGTATGGACATTGCTAGATATTATAACACTATGGTAAGGTTTAGATTTGCCATGATAAGTTTTAACCTAACTTTTTACAATGGAAATGTTAGTTCTAATATCAATATAAATCAACAAAACTTCAAACCAGGAAACTACATGGCATAAATTAATTTATTTTTAATTCAAAGAGCTTTTCCTTTAAATGCATTGGTGATAAAATCTGTGACTTCCTCATGGAATGCAGAAACAGAAGTGTTTCCCATTATTTAAACTACAGATCCAAAATATAAAATGTTAAACCACACTGAAAAAAACCCACTCACGTCATATATTAGTGTTCAATGACTTCAGATTATAAGGGTTTTTCTTTAAAAGCATGTCAAAACCTTTTGATAATAATATAACAAATGTCCATTCAATTGCAGGTGGTGCATTTAAAATACAGATGCTGAAATCAATTAGCCCTTTAATGAGCACTAGTTTTTTAATTCAACAGAGCTCTGACATTAGTCTTACTGTTCATCTTGATAGTAGATGCAAATGCTTACATATTTCAAATTGAAAAGCAGAGATTTTCAGCAAAATTCCTCTAAAGAGACTATTTTTGTGTCAAGCAAGACATTAATACTTTGCATTGAGCTGTTCAGCACTTTTACAAGACATCAAGCCTCTCCCAAATTAAGTCATTTCTCTTTTTCTACCTTCGAGGAGGTCATCTTCTTCTATTCCTTTGACAATTTTAGATTTGTAGTCTCGAAAAAACATGTATTTAAGTAGCCTTCGAAGCTTCTTCTATGAGAAAAAAATACATTTATATCAATGACCATTACATAGCTATTTCTTATTTAATAAACTTTGCAACACACAAACATACAAATGTGTAGTACATTACTCAGGAAATATAACTTCTAAAATATTTGTCATTTTAAATTCTGCAGAAAATCCATACAAAGAAAGTACCTCAGGACAGTAGCAAATCCATATTAAAAATTATTTATTTGAGCTCCTTGGTATTTTGCTGTGAGACAGAAATGAGTTTGACTTTCAGAAAGGAGAAATTCATATATTGGGCTTCTTTATGACACTCCAAAATGTTTGCTTACTTTGGAAACTTTAGGCTATAAATGCACATTTCCATGAACTTTGACTCCATATCAACTGCTGTTTTCAGTACAGCCTTACAGCTTTTATCAAATAATGAAACTGTAATTTATTTTTGTGTTTTAGGGGGTTTTAATTTTGCAATGGCTTTGGTCATTAGGCTTCACCTATCAAACAAAGAAAAAAAAAACAAAGGAGAGAAAAGGGTGAGAGAAAGAGGGAAACTAAGGAAGAGAAGGACATAAAGGAAGAACAGATAATGTAATTAAAAATAGTTCAAAATTTCTTAAATAATTATTAAATTTGAGGAGAGAAAATTATTTTTTCCCTTGTTGACTTGCTCGACTTACTATCTAGAGAAAGCAAGGCCATACATAAATTTAGAGATTTTAGTGGTATAAGACACAGGAAAAATATTATAAAATAAAATAAAGAGGATTTATGGACAGTCTAAATGAAAAAACTATAATGATCATTCTTAAATGTCACATTGACACCATTCATAACCAGGGGGAAATTAAAATGATTGATTTTTAATTAAAGAGGCATCAAGTACAGAGATCAATATTTATATCTTATTAAGAAATTACTTTGAGCTCTATGGTACATCATCTACCCTAAAGCCTTGTGAAAAAAACCAAACAATTGATAATTGAAGCTACAGGGAAAAAAAACAATTATTATTTCAGATATTACAGAATGATTATAACATGCTCAATCAAATACGGTTGCAGAGCAGCTACAATTTTAAATAAAGCTACTCATGATGGATTCCTTTACATAGGTTAAGAAACCACTTGAAAACACAATAAGCAGATGACTACATAAAATAAGAAATTTCTGTCTTAATTACTGTACCTTATCTTTGCGCATTAAGAACAGGAGATCTTCAGCAGAGATGACTCGAGCTCCTCTCATCTGAGAAACTTCAGCTGCTTGCTGCAACTAAAATAGATGAATAAATTAGAATGGCCTCTTCAGTGTTAAAAACTTTATTCACTGGGGTTTGTTTTAAATAAATTCAGATGATATTTTGCATGGTCGTCCATAGCAAAACACAAGCTGTGCACTAAAACACAAGCTGGGACTCTCAAAGGTGTCACTCACTTGAGTCTTGTTTGCCAAGAAGTGAATAACAATTTTATGAAAAGTCTGAAAGACCTTTGACAAATCTCAAGAAAAAGCTTTTTTGTTTATATTTAAAATGATTGCTTTTAAAAAGTCCTGCTGCCCTTTTTTTTTTCTTCTCTTAGCACAGAAAATGAACATATAATTCTCTCAGGCAATGTAAAAATGCCAAATTCTTGCCATAGCACTTTATCTGCAACTGTGGAAGGGCAGCTGATCCGTCTCCCAGTTTTTTAGAATAACAAATATTAATTTTAAACAGCTTACCTAAGTATTTTTTGAAAGAAACTCTACCCATACTTGACTTAGCATTAGTACAAACCAGACTCACATGAAGAACTTTTTCAGGAATGCGCTTATTTCATTTGGGAGAAAGAAAATGAATTGATAGGAAACACCGACTCTATTAATGAAGGAATTGAAAAACCTCATTGAGCAGACCAGGCCATTGAGCTGTGAAAGTGATAAAGATGGGATTGAGTAAGGAATGACACAAAAATTGATAAGAGGTGGCCAAAGGGACGTGAAGCAATGAACTGTCTTCACATCCATTGTAACAGTGCCTAGAGAGGCCCCAAACACCTCAAATTGTGCAGTAAAGAGCAAAAACTCTTTGTAAAGGACTAAGTACATCAGCTTTCAGTAGGTGCAGGAAATTGGAGTTTTTACACAAAACCAGAACAGGGTTAGAGTCCTGGTAACCTGGGTTATCTGCACAGCTGATGCTTATTAAAGTGCTGGGCTAAGGACGTTCAACCCAAATGCGCAAAAGGAGAAAATGAGATTTGCTCCTTTCACCTCACAAGCCTTTTGTCCTGGCATAAGATAATCATGGAATCACAGAATGGGTTGGAAGGAATTTTTAAAGGTTATCTAGTCCAATGCCCTGTAATGAGTAGGGACCTTCAACAAGACCAGGTTGCTCAGAGCCCCATCCAGTCTGACCTCTAGTTTTTCCAGGGATGGGGAATCCACTGCCTCTGTGGACAAGCAGTTTCAGCATAAAACATAATGCTGTATCAACTGAAATAGAAGGGATGCTTCACACTTTATTCTCTAAATTAATAAACATAATCCAAAAAGCAAGATTTACTTTAAATTTTTTTGCCCCTAGCTTTGTTAACCCTGTGATGGAAAACTGACAGAGAGCACAGCATAAAAGTCATCAGAAGACGAGATCTCAAAAAAATTTTGATATTAAAATTCATACACACCTGTAACATGATCAATAAACATCAATTTATGTTCCAATAGCTCTCTACTCTTCTTTAGAAATGCATTAATGCACCTGAAAATAATTTAAAGAAATCCTATCCTTCATACTCACACTAGCAATGGTTTCACTCAGTATCACTGGCTGAATAAGTATATTATTAATCTGAGCTCCCATGCTGCTATGACTTGAAATAGGCCTATTCAGAAGTTAAAAAGATCAACAAAAACAGTAGCTGTTTCTAATATCCAAAGAAGGGGAAAAGGGGGGGTGGGGGGGAATTTTCATTTTGGCAAGTGTTCAGTGGGCAAAAGATTCAGTCCATAAATCATAATACTGGACTGCATTAATTTTTTTCCACACTAATCACATGCACACAAAACGTTAACTGTATCTGGTACGCACAACACAAAACATACTGCGTGAAGAGGTTCAGATTTTCCCCTTGGAACCCATTCCTGGCCTTGCAGTCACCGAGACCAGAGAGATTTCAGGAATTCAGAAGTCACAGTAACATAATCTCACTTGAAAAATGTAAGAATGTGAAAAACGATAGCTCTATTTTTTGGCATAAGCAAAACTGTTTCTTATTCTGATTAGTTTGAGGGCACGCAAGCTACTTATGTTTCTAACATAAAATATAAAGAGTTGGATAAAAAAAAAATTACCAAGAATGAGCCAATATTCTTCTCTGGTGTAAATCTATTGCAGCTAATGGATTTATGCCAAGGCTGACTTTGGCCCCACTGAGCTTAAAAGTGTTAAAAAACCTGACCTTAGCATGGTGATAACACAACACAGCTTTCCCAAATATCATGTAAAACAATGGCAGAAATAATGAAAGGGAAAGCACGCTCTAGTTCTCAAACATGCACAAGGATGATCTCTTGGCCCCTTCAATCCAAACCATTCCCTGACTTTCTAAGACATAAAGCTCAGGTATGTTGATTTCCATGTGTAGCTGAAATACCTTATTTTTCCAAATTATAAACATGTGACAGTGACATTTATAGTAAAGGTTGTGTGTGAACTGCTTGCAGGAATCTTGTGCTGAAAGAAGGGAGAGTAAGGAGCAAAGGCCAAATTCACATCCCATTTGCATCTAAGTAAATCCTGAATAACACTGTTTACTTTCATGGAGTTATTCTGGGCTAAACACAAGATCAAAATCTAGAATAATATTCTCAGTTTCTACCAAAACAATGAAAACTTTATTCTCGTTGCCTCAACTTCTGCATCTATTTTATTTTAAGGAATGGACACACAGCATTTAATTTCTTTGGCTTAAAGAAAGCAAAGTACAAAAATAATTACTTCCTGTGCAGTTATAAAATATGGATTATTTATCCAAACAGACCATAATGAGTTCTGCATTGGTACACGTATTTACCTGGGAAACCGGGGTATGCTCAGGTAAATATGTATCCAAGCAATTAAATAAAAATTACGTCCCACACAGCTGAGACTGGGGGGAAGATGTATTTATAGTTTAACACACACATAATTGACTCATTCAAACCACAACGTGAGTGCTTTGCTATAATTAGTATTATAACAAACTGTCTTATTTGACTGTCCCAGAGTTGCCATTAATATGCAATAACCCCGACTCCTGAATTTCCGGCGCTCAAGGCCTTGTTGAGTCATTACGTGATGAAGGGGGATTTCAGGAAGCTGTGCCAAAGAACTGATCCATCTCCGAGCACCCGAGCATTTGTCATTCCAGAAAAGCCCTTCTCAGCTCCCTGAAATCAGGAGGTGCCTCAGCCCTGGCTGCAGGGGGAGCACGGGGGGTTTCACTCAGGGAGCAGCGCTGCCCATGACTCCAGGTGATGGGTGGGATAGAAATGCTGCAGGAACTGTTCATACATGAGGCTGCCACATGGCAACCGAGCAGCTATGGCAAGAATTTCCCTCCATCTCCCTTCTCCAAGCCTCAGTGCCAGTCACAGAATTCGGGGCTGCAGCAGTTCCAACACACTCTCTTCTCCTAATGTTTTCAGTTTTGAAATTATTAAGTCCACGTTACAAAATATTTTGTTTGGGATGATATTGAAGAACAGCAAACAATCCAAATTACTCAGCTTTTTAAAGAAAAACAGGTTCAATTCCCTAATACCAGCAAACAATGTCTGAGACCTCAGAGTCTGAATATATTTTTTATTACAGCAGAATTATGAACCCCTAAAAGTGAAGTTTAAATAACGGAAGTGTTGAAATAATTTTAACTATAGGAGCGCAAACAGCTCTGTTAATAATTAGGAGTTTATGAAAAATAAGTGCATTTTACAATTTTTCCCATTACAAAGAAGGTAGTATATACAGTAACTATATTTTAAACCCTAAGAAGAAATGGCTGGGGAATAATATTTTAAAATGTAATCACAGGTTTAATGACTTTATGAAGTTAACTTTCTTGGCAGGATGAACTGAAGTATGTTAACAGTCACCTTACGGCTATTTTCTTTTTGCAACTTCTGCAAATTATAGATTTGTTGAAAGGAGTATTCATTCTCCTGTGACAGAAGCACAGTTACTTCAATGAGACTGTCTGCTTTTTTTCCTTACAGAATTATTTTTTCTTCCACTACCTCCAAAGTCAACAATCACCGATACTTCTACAAAACCATCTTGATGGACAAACAGACAAAAAGCTGGAAAACAAACATACATGTTGTGACATAATCCTCCCAGTTACACTGCAGGACAGAGTCGGAATGGTGATGTTTGCATGCCTTGGAACTGCTGGGAGCCAAGAATAATGCTGCAGGAGCTACAGTTTTGTTTTCATTATAGAAAATTAGATCATAGTTCACCTGAGTGAATTTTTTTTCAGAGGCAGGAAGGTTGTTGTGTTATTAAATATGTATTAAAATGTCCTATTTTCTCACCTTTTCTAGGTAAAAACCACACTACTGTAAAATTATCAAATAATATTCTGAATTATGATAGAGTCCTGTAAATATATTCCAAACAGAGCATTCTGATACTTTAATGAAGACAACTAAATGGAAAAGATAAATGCAGGTTTTCACTTCAATCTTTCCATGTAATATCTCACATGCTACTAATGGTGATACCTGAGCTTCTTGTTCTAACAAAGAGAGAGGGAAAACTCTGAATTTGTTTCCACAATTCAGCACGGGGACGTGCTTTATGCACTTAGCACATCCTGGGGAGATAATTACATCATGGAGCCCATTAGAGCACTCTGACAGGTAATGATTCAGGATCACTGCACAAGGGTTCACCAACATGACTGAATCATCACATGCTGTTTTCTGATTTTCTAAATCTGAAAATGTCCATCTGCAGATTAGAAGACAATCAATTTTCTTCTTAATAGGTATTTAATTTCAAATGTAAATATTTTTTTTACTGAAGACCATTTAATATAACACCAGGTGATTATATGCAACCTCTAGAAGATGAAGCTCTGTGTCACATTTTGAGGCTTCAGAGAATCATGGAATCACAGAATTGTTTAGGTTGGAAAATACCTTTAGGATCATCAAGTCCAACCACACCCCCAGCACTGCAAGGCTACCACTAAACCATGTTCCCAAGTGCCACATCCACACATCTGCCAAACCTCTCCAGGGAT